GAGTTTGTATCATTTATCTTAAAGTATTTTTTTCCATTCTAACACTTATGACAGTGCCATATTTTATACGCAACATCAAGTTTCAACAAATGATCATTAGCACTTAAAAAAGACCTATAGGTATGCTCAAATACCCCAAGTATATCCCCTTCTTCAAGCGACCATTTATGGTATACTGGAGTCTAATTTCCAAGCCATAATTTACACCATTTCTTCTACTGGAGGGACCTTTCAATAAAAGCGGCCGTCCATGACCGAATTTCGAGTATCATACTCGCGTTTATCCTTTACTTATGCTCGACTGTGTAAACGAGGAGAAATAAAATATATTTGGGTTAGTTGAAAAAATTGCCTGTACTTTACCTCTGTAACTACGGAAGTGAACGCAGATGTGTACTCTATTCCTGCACAGATCTCGTTATCTTCTGTACATGCATTCTCCACGCTACGGTTGCCTGTATACCAAGAGGATGTCAGACCGTACTCTGAATCATTTGTTCCCGTGCCATTGACGTAGGATGGACACACCCAGTTAGGCTTGGCGCCAATGAAAACAGGTATAAGAATTGTCCATGCAGTCATGAATGAGCTGGACCTTATAATAAACGCTGTTGCGATTTGTCTAGGTCCTATCTTACCTGAATAATAATATATTGGCCACCTTACTTATTTCAATTTATTGTCTGGAAATTCTATTAAATGCATAATCGGGCCTTTAGATTAAAGTGTTAGACATACACTAAACGTTTAAACATAAAGATGAAAGTTACCAATTATTCATATCGATAAAATTTTCGATATATTTGTATTTAAAAATCTGAGTATGATTCCATGACTGAAGTATAGTAATGTGTCACACACTGGATCAATCTTTGCGAAGATGCTTGGCTTGTAATTGGTTGTCCAACTAGGCGGAAATATACGCCTTATTAATTGACTGTTGGTTGATTTTAATTATTTTAGTTATTAAAATACTCGTGTAAAGTAAAAATCATCCCTATTCCAATAAATGAACGATTTCACAAAAGCTATTTTGCGTAAGCATTTAAATTTTCAACATAAATTATGATTGTGCCACCAATACTACATACACTTTTCTCATCTCGCAGTCGTAGCACCAAACACATTATCTACTAAAGTTGTTATTGCATGCTTTGCCTACTCAATACAGTTGCTGTGCAAATACTAACCGTTGGTTGCAAATAACTACTTACCAATATCGTTTAGGATGCGATCGAATCCTTCAGCCATTTTGTGAGGTGTCGCAACCGACAGACTAGGAGAGAAGAGGAGAAATAAGCAATTTAGGGATCAGTTATAAAACCTGTGTGCGTGACGATCGTGATGCAGCATTTTAGGAACATCAGTTGTCTTCGAGAAGAGGCATACAAAATGCGAAACATTGGCGTTTTTTCCCAAACATGCATGGTTGCATTGGTTCAACGTGCCCAAGTGTCAGTTAGAACTGCAGTAAAATATCTCTGTGTATTCAAGTTAGTAAATATACAAAATATGATTACATAAGATTGCATCAGAAAGTTAAGTCTGAACGTTATTGCTAAAAATCAATTTTTCGAACATAAACAATTGTCAACGGCCTATTGTGGGAAAAAAGTTTGGCGTAGTCAAACGACATTTTATGGCGACAACAATATCCAGAGCTTATTTACGCACATGCACATTCTGGGGAGACATGAAGGATACTATATATATATATTTTTTGCAAGACCCTTTCTTTCATTCAGTATGTTCAGACACGTCATCTGCGTCTGTCGTCGCCGTCGCAGTCGTCGCTGTGCACTTTCTGTAATAACACGATAAGTGGAAAAACGTTAAACCCTTTGTTTTCAAACTTACCGATCGGATTAATATTCATAAAATGCAAGTCAACTTCGAAGCTTGATCAGACTATTTTCCTAAATGTTATTTTATTTATTTCTTTATTTATTTATTGACTTTATTAGCATATAAGCAATACAGATAACATGTTTTAAGAAAAAATCGATGGGCCAATTATCTTCAAACTTACAGATATAATCAATTAAAAAGAGATGCAGGTCAAGTTCGAAAATCCGCTTGATCGGACCATTTTTCCAACAAATATGTTGTTGTTTTTTCCTTTTTTTCAGCATATATAAAATACCGGTAACACATTAAGTTAAAAAAGTTAAACTATGTCTTTAAACTTCCAGGAGTGATCAATATTCGAAAATAGAGGTCTATTTCGAAAACAAGGCTAAGCAGATTTATTTTCTTGAAGTTATGCATTTTTGTGAAATGTTCATTTTTCACATATTGGCACTTTCAAGGTGTTACTTTGAACTTCCATGGACCTATCGGTGGTGACTATGCTGTTAAGCATTATGTAATATTGCATCAAAATTGGAATTAAACCCTATTTTTTGTACTGCCGCCAAAGTGCCCGTTAAAGGAGAACCATGATTCTCAAACTCACAGAAAAGATGCATAGGACTGAAATGCACTAGAAACTGAACTAGAAAATCAATCTGATTGAATTCTTTTTCTGGAAGATATGCAGTTTTGTAAAATTTTCATTTGTCACATATAGGCGTTTTCAAAGTAGGACTTAGAACCCCTATGGGCGTGAAGCCGAATGGTAGTTACATTTTCCAAATGTGCATGTTACGTATAGCAGATAATTAAAAATCGATGGTGATTATGCTGTTAAGCTTATGTAGTAATAAACATCAAAATGAGAAAATACCTTTCTTGTGCGCTGCCGGCCACCACAAACGCTATATAAGGAAAATTGTATTACTTGTTATATTATAACCTACAATAATGATTCTTAGGATTGCTATGCAATTGACATACATCTCAAATTGGAAAACCAGGTTGACTGAATTATTATTTTTTCTTGAATTTAAGCAATTTTTTGTTTTATCATTTTTCTCGTTCTGGCATTTCCAAAGTATGAACTTGTACTTTAATGGACCTGAAGCAATAATAATATAGTATCCTTAAAAAGCAGTTAATATGTTGTTTACAATGTCAAATTAATAAATGAGTGATGATAAAAAAATTGAAAGAATTTAGATGAAGTTAATGTCTAAAAAAATAAACACAATTTATTGAAAACATATAAAGAAAACCCTAAAACTTTCTTCCGTATATTGGATTGAAGGCTTGTTAGAGATCAATAAAACTTTTTTGAAAATAACATATCATTTGACGTTATCATATGAACAATCACAAAGCTCTATGCCATCCCATTCTCCAACCTCATCCTGAGCTGCCTACTCCCAGACTCAGCCCAAGGGAAATCATAGGTCTATACATATACCACTTAAGGATATTGTTACCTTTTGCCAAAAGGTCCTTATTTGCTTCAGTGGCTTAATTAATTAATTAACATTTTCACATATGCCATCTTACGGGTGACGTCATAATTACGATTTGGGGGTAAAAATTGAAAAATCAGTTTCTCAAGTTTCACCTTTACCTGAGCATCCATGAACACCGTTTTAACGTCAATTTAATGACACCATTTAATACTCCAAAACTTTTCCAGTGATTTTTCTTGAAAGTCTTAGTTCAGATTTTATCATTGATTAAGCAAAATAATGCCTTTAATGAAAATATGTTATTAGGTGTTCATAACTCCATAACTAAAACATTTAACCAAAAGGACGGCACGAGATTGTAGCCCATACACTCGTGGTCAACTATGCCAACTTCCGTTCCGGAATGAAGTTACACCCATATCGATTGCTATCTCACCTCAAAATAGGTGTTAAATTGACGATTAAAGTTTTGAGTTGCCTATGTTTAAACATTGCAACGAAAAAATATAAACGCTGAAATTTTATATTTTCGAGGGCTTTTTCATTGTTTTAAAGCAGCACAAAGATAGAAGCATTATTGAATTATTAAATGCAGGAAAACCCCGGTATTTGGATGACAATAAAGAGTTAAAATACCCTTAACGTACTTCAGAAGGGTTTAGACCAGAAAATTAAAAAAAATAAAACATAATGACTGTGGGTTAGGTCATCTCGACAATTTATTGACCCGAAGCTGGGATAATGGACCGACCCCGAAGGCCGGGTTCAATTATCCTAGCTGAGGGGATAAACAATATTGGTGAATAAAATTGATAAGTTGGTTTTTGCACAAAACTTTTATTCATATATCCTCAACAATCACAAGACTCTCCATTTTAGCTTATCACGTCACATTTAAATATCATGATACATCACACAGATTTTCTGGTTACTCCACAACTTTCCGTTTAAATTTTTTCTTCAATCTATTAACATCCCCTTATTTGGTAATGGTGCGGTGTTTCGCGATTTTATGTAATATCTATTATTATTCATTTTTCCATAACTCTCCATTATTAGCTATCAATCCAAATACTGTGATTGCTTAACTATGTAATAATGTGACGTTTGACCTGCACGTAAGTTCACCAATTCCCGATTTTCCATCACCTCATGATAATAGAATGATAACTAAATTTTCTTGTTGATTTCTTTTCATTAATGGTACCGTTTGACACTCTTATTTGCACTCTTTGAAGTTTCAGAGCCATTGACTGTAAAATTTATTAACAAAATAATAATCATATTAATAATATATTTTCAATATTATATTTGACTGACTTTCTACATTTGTAGCATTTAAATATGTCGCTCTGAGCTACCTACATATATATATATATATATATATATATATATATATATATATATATATATATATATATATATATATATATATACTTAAACTTCGTTTCTGTTACCCACATAACTTGGCAATGCCAACAGAAATTACGATTTTTCAACAACCTTTAGAGGGGGAGAGCTGTCATCAAATGATATCTCCGTCGTCAAAGTCTCTCTACTTTTTCCAAGTTCTTTTTCCTCTGATATCCCCTCGTTGCCGACGGAGTGTTCATCCGTCGATGGGTTGAAGCAAGAAAATGAACATTCCGGTAAAGCATCTGACAGGTGTCGCTTTTTGGTTTCAGGCAAAAGCAGACCAAGAAAAGCAGCAGCCAGGGCAAAAGTTCCAAAAATTGTGAAGGGTAGTTGTCCGGATATGGTGCCCTGATGGTGAAACATATCAATTAACATTGGTCTCGATAACAATATATTTCGAGAAAGAATATTCAATTTTGTATCAAACTGAAACGTTTGACGACCATTTCTTAAAACATGATAATGCTCATGAGATTTATAATGCCGGATCAAAAATCTAAAAACAATGAATTCGTTAGATACAATGGTCGGAAAGTTTAAAGTTTAAATTAACAGGTTAAACCTAACGATGTGTGATCATTGTCCAATTTGCAGAGATTGGGACCAATAATTCGCCTCTACTGTGGCAAAGCAATATCACAACATTTTAAATACCTGAAAAATAGCACCTACCAAGAGCCCAAATTGTGGAGCAGTCACACCTCCTATTCTGGCGGCCATAGAGGCAGTCCCACTGGCGATGCTCCTATAATGAAAAATACGTATCAGAAATATTTGCATTTCCCCATTTTATCAACCGATACAGACTCTTTTTAATTAAAACTAACGAGGCTGGGTGGTTGACATGTATAGCGAGAATCACATTATGAAAGTAGAAGAGAAATGAACAAACACCAAGATTAAAAGAAAGATGAAAAGCACTAAAATTCAAGTAAGAAAATGCATGAAAATATATGTATTGATGAAAATTGACAATTTCCATGGGAACCGAATGTTCTTCAGCCCAATTTGCTGTCACTGTCAATATCATTACCTGACAACAGTTGGATAAAGTTCCACGGTGTAAAGATACCCAATGGACCAAGCTGCAGACACACCTAACTTGCCAATAAGAGCCAGGGCAGTCACTAGGGTTCCAAGCTCATCGATTTTGCCTGAAAAGTTTAATTAAAGACACAGCAGATGTTCCTCAATAACTTTTTAGTCGCATAGCAAATACAGGAGTAAAGGGCCTTTTTAAAACTTATTCATACATGTGTGCCTATACGCCACGTAATATTAAGTTTTTTGTTATTATTATTATTATTATTATAAGAGATATATCTTTATATTTGCTCACAATACATGTATGCTCATTAGTGGCGAAAAAAAAATTAAAGCAAAGCCAGTGGAACGGGCAAAATTAGACAAAATCCAGCATTTTCCTTGCCTGCAACCTACAAATTGTAATACATTTGTCGAGAGAATGAAAAGTTTAATAGTGCTTCAGAAATTCTTTATTTCACCGCACAATTATAATGGTTAATTTTGAACCTTTCTTTTAAACACACTTCTTTTCATAATGTGGTCACGAACATCAACCCTCATAATGTACATTCCCTTTTACCTACCCGCTAACCCAATGAAAAGAACAGAGAACAAAGCCAGCCCGCAGATCAGCATTGATACGAACATCACCAACCGGCGGCCAATCCTACACGAAACAAAGCGTAGTTACTTCAGTATAATAGTATCCTCAAATTGGTCTCCGAATGTTACAAAATTTATTGTAAACAAATACACCAATGTCGTTTGATAATGAACGACGCTAAAGCTAAAGCTTAACCTATACACTTCTTTTACATATCAACAGCATCTGCTCTAAAAGCATACTTGAGAATATTAACTTAAACTGAGTGATACCCGTCACACCAATCGTCGAACAGTATTTGGTGATATATGTTAATGATGCTTAATATTTTATCATGGTGATTGTGATCTATTATTTGTTTGTGACATGCGTTTTCAACCGAAATCCGGCAAAAAACAATAAAAATAAAAACCAACCTCCCAACCCTGCCTTCAGGTACAAAAAGAATGATCAACAAGCGGCTACGTATTATCTGGCATCGATCCACATCTAAACAAGTAAACAAAATCTCAATCATGTCCCCAGGTGTCCGGAAATCAAATAGATTTTAGCTCCCATTTAAAACCATTTGCCAAATCACGATGTGCATTAGCCTATAGCGACAAGCAAGCATCGGTGCATATCTTTACACGTTGTTAGAAATATTCATGGTTTTAAAAGAGAGAAAAAACACATACCTGTTGCCAGTTATTAAAACAGAAACAAGTGCCACTAACTCAAGCGCTGACAAAAGAGCAAAGTTGACATACACGTCTCCGGGCAACTGCTTCACGTTGAGCGATAGTCCATAAAATGTCATAGAGTACACGAACCTATAACCATATAAAAGTTCCATATATTGTTAGGATTTTTCACAATAAAAACTTTAAAGGCATTTTACAATGTGAAAGAAATCACAATTGACACGAGACAACTATTTTAGTACATTACTCGAGTAAAACAAATAGCACAACTTTTATCAAATAAAACGCAACCCACCAATTGAACATGAGAACCAATGTATATTTTGTTAGCTGCGGTGTCCTAAACAAGTCCCAGATGGCGTAGTGTTTCAAAGTTACAGCTTTGGCTTTTTCTTCCTACAGAAGTAATTTAGATTTAAATCAAGAGATGGTTATTAGATCATGCTAAAAAAAAAAGCTATTCAGCTTCAACAGCATGCGATCACTTTCGATAATTTTTATAAATCTGATAAATACGAATGTCTATCAGCTAACATAATAGCCTGCAATCAAAGCTCTATACGTATTATATAATGTTCAAACATTCAGTATCAAAGTTAATAAAATCTGCCAACAGGTAAATTTTCAATGCATTTCTTGACTTAGCCATGGAGTTCATGGAGTTATTAGGTAATTTCTGAATTGATCTAATTATTTAAGCACTTAACTTGACATTATTCAAGAATATATTTCAAATACCTCAACAAATTTTCTCAGTGCATCAGAACTTATTGGCGTTTTTTTGTTTCCTATTGCAATGGAGCTCAAAACCTTTTCTGCATCTTCAATTCTGTCATGCATAAGCAGCCAGCGAGGACTCTCTGGGATAAATCTATGGAAAACATTTTAAAATAATTTTCTAATAACATTGCAATAAGTTATATTGTATTACATCTTCAAAAAATGAAATTCTCAACAAGATGCTATACGGTTATTGTCACATATTTTTGAAACCCCATCATGATAAAGGCATGTTGATTAATGGCAAGGCTATCGTTAATTCAAAAACATAGTCTAGAGGAATAGAAATGCCTTGTTTCTTCTGTGATTAACAACAAAGTAGACAAGTCTCAAGATAATGCATTGTCGGTCGGGGAATGAGCTGCAGAGAATGGGAATCATCCACATTAGCCCAGTGTCTCGCGTAAAACCAACCAAGACTTCGCGGGATTTGAAGAAGAGTGGGGTTAGAAACAATGGCATACAAGCGAGTGCGGTGCTCCAGTTAATAAAAGCTGATCTACGGATATATCTGGTTGTTTTTCTCAGACTATGTTAGGACATTTTCACATCGAGCGGTATGCCCAACCGATCCAGTCTGGGCCAGTTCACCTTGACAGGTTCTACTGGGTATGCAGGGCAGAATTCACCAATGTAATGCTGTGAGATAAATAAGTGATTTTTTTCCAATTTTTTTCTGACATTTCTTGTATGTTGCTATGGTTAATTTTGGTGTCAACTTGCAGGCTTGTGTTTAAATTGCTCCCTATTTTATTCAGGACCAGGCACATGTGTCGTGCAGTGTGGGACCTCTGACTACATGTATGAGCGGTGCAATTGTTTGTTTACAAACAACAGTGGTGCACGTATTCAAGTACTGCCGGTAAGAAAATAATTAAGCTTTTTAACAGTATATTTTTGTGCCATTTGGAGTTATGTCAATATGTCTGCTTTCCATGGGGATACGAAATGTTTACCAAATTATTTTGTTCATGCAGTTTTGGAGGCATTTCTAAGTATGGGAAAAAGGAAATTATTTGGTGTTTTCTGCCCTGCAGTTAAGTAGGTACACATACAACTGGACGCCATTTCAGCAAATCTCTACCAGTTCGGTTTCTGCTTTGGAGTAAATTGATTGACCGTGTCGAGCGAGGACATACCGTTTAGGTATATCCATTGCTGCACTTAAAATGAGGTCCAAAAACAAAGACAAATCATATTGCTGTCTAACACGTCATACGCGGCGCGAAGAGCTCAACCATAATAACTGAAAGGTTAGCACTACCTCACTTGAATTCTCGCACGCTTTCTAGCCTCGTGCAATGTATGACGTAACGTTTTACCGACAGCTTCCTTTGCCTTGAGGCAACCTCGGATGATTTCCACTTCAGTTAACGAAGATAAAAAAGGGGGCGTGTAAGCAACATGAAGTATTTTTTGGAAATATTTGACCTACTTCCATAAGAACAAAACAAACACCGTTGGAAATGGTGTTGTCACCATCAGCAATGTTTTCCAGTCACGGATGAAGTATGCCAACAGTGGCAGCAGTAAGCTGGCGGGGGACCAAAGGCTGAAAGTTTTGACGTATAATCTCCATCTGACGTTTACAAACTCCATGGGCCAGACAAAAGAGACAAGCATCAAACCTGTAATAGACTTGCAGAATGTGGGACATGAAGAAATATTACACAACCCAATCAATTGATACTATTAGTTTAAAAAGAAAGCAAGTTATTTGGACAGATTTACTTGCCTTTAGATAAAAAAGCTTACCTCCAGCAAACATTCCGTTCACGAAGCGAATGGCGGCGTACACTTCCCACATTGGTGCAAACGCGCCACAAAAACCAACTATTGAGTTTAAAGTCAGCATTGTAAACCACACTTTTTTTCTTCCAAATTTATCCGAAAGGTGACCAAACAAGAGGGCTCCGAAGAAGATACCAGCCATTTGGAAGGTTGTAATTATGGAGCTGACATTTTCCAAACTGCAGATTAGATTCCACTAAAAAAGAAGAAAAGAAATGGGATTTCTCCAAACCAGTTTGTGTCATTCATTTCAAAGTGATTCTTTTCAATCCTTATATCTCTATCATACTACAAGTATGCAAGCAATACTATGTCACAAAACTGGTCATAAGCACTTAAAAACACTTATACTCCAAATATATCCCCTTCTTCAAATGATCGTTTATAGTATAAAAGACTGGCGCCTCTGACAATTTTATGTTGCTTGCCTACCATAACTCGAACGAATTCGAAACCGAGAAATACCTCACAGATAAATATTTTTTGTTTATTTGTTTGTTTGTTTGTTCGTTCGTTTCGTTTTTTGGAACACTTTTCATTTAGCGTAATCAAAAACTGATTACATGCATTACTTGCAATTTCAAGGCAATATTTTACGCGGGTAATAGTCTCACACCTCAAAAAGCGTGTGATATCTTTGAGGTGACAGCATTATAGTTTACATTAAAAAAAAACAATACGAAAAGAACAACTAAGTCCGATCTATTGTCTGTTTCAGGGTATTATTTGTGAAAAGGTAAATTCCTAATGATAAGAGTGTATTTCAACGAGTGACGCAAGCTGGAACATTCAACGAAAAGGTCAAGCAATTTTAAAATTATCACGCGATCCCGTGCAGTTAACCATTTTAATTCCCAGGTAGAAATGAATATTTGGGTGAGTTAAAAGATTTGCCTGTACTTAACCTCTGTAACTACGGTAGTGAACGCAGATGTGTACTCTATTCCTGCACAGATCTCGTTATCTTCTGTACATGCATTCTCCACGCTACGGTTGCCTGTATACCAAGAGGATGTCAGACCGTACTCTGAATCATTTGTTCCCGTGCCGTTGACGTAGGATGGACACACCCAGTTAGGCTTGGCGCCAATGAAAACAGGTATAAGAATTGTCCATGCAGTCATCATTCCACTGGATCTTATGATAAAAGCTATTGCGATTTGTCTAGGCCCTATCTTACCTGAAAAAAAAAACACTTGTCATTAGCAACCTTGAATTCATACCCTACTTATTCAGATTTCTTTTAAATAAATCATCTGGAAACTCTATTGACTGCATAATCGAGATTTGTTTATTAAAGTGAGAGACACGTAACGTATAAAGAGACGGAAGTTACGTATTATATATTTCAAAACATTTGTTTTCAATATACCTGTATTAATAGAAGACTAAGTGGTCAATATTTGGTACATGGATGCTTCCATGACTGAATTACAGTTATTTGTCACAGTTATTCTTTAGAATGTCAAACGACGCTTCAAACTTTGCAAAAATGCTTGGCTGGTGCAAGGAATTATACCATGTACCTAATTGACTAGTGGTTGTCAAACCAGGCAGAATACTTCTTATTAACAAAATGTTTTGATTGTTGTTTGTTAAATATTTGTGTAAAGGGAAAGGCATTAATCATTCCAATAACAACATCACATTACTTACTTTGAGTGCATTTAAAATTTCAACATAATGTGTTGTGCCTCCGATACTTGAATTTTTTTTTTTTTTTTTACAGTCATAGCAGAGAATACATTGCCTACATATGTACATTTTTCATTACTAGCGATGCCTGATAACTACAGTTTGCTGTACGAATGTTAACCGTTGGTTACAAATAACTACTCACCAATATCGCTTAGGATGCGATCGAATCCTTCAGCCATGTTGTGATGTGTGGCAAGAAGCAAACTAGGAGAATGGCGAAATGATCATGAGCACTTCAGTGGTCAGTGATAAAAACTTCGTCAGTGATCGTGATCCAGAATTCTTGGCATATCAGTTGTCCTCGAGAAGGGGACGAACCCGATTTGCGTGTTCAGGCATACAAAATGCGCAACATGCTCGTTTTAATGCATGATTGCATCGTTTTTCCTCAGACAATCATCAATTCAATCTGAAGTAAAATCTCTCTGTGAATACAAATGATTTCATACACGTGATATGATTTTATAATCAAGCGTGTTTTTTTTTCTTAGTGTGTGGCATCAGAAAGCGTATCAGAAACAATGAAACTACTTGTTCATTGCATTTATATTATCAGAATTTGAAAAATCTAGAATATACTTTACGGGTCATTGTCAACACTTCTTAATAATGAGGTATGTCAAAAAAATTTTTTCAAACAGTTCTGAAATTTCCTACTTTGAATAAAAAAAATAAATATTTTAA